AAGCAACCTTAATCATAGTAGATAATTCTACAAGAATAACAGAAAATTTAATATAGCATAAGGTTGCATAAAGCTTACAAATTTGTATAGTTTATGTAAGTTTACAGTCAAAGTATTTCATAATTATTATGAAATGTGATAGTTACATAATACTCAGTTGATATATTCTATAATATTAATATACCATTTGATTCAGATGCACTGATTTAAGTTGAACGATCTATAGGTTACAGCGAAAATTAGGAGGTATTGATATATAATTGAAAAGTAGTTTATCTAATTAATTATTTCATAATTATTGAAATAATTGACTGTGTTTTAAATAAGTATTTAGTTTAAGAATAACAGGCTTTGTAACAAAGAAGTAAAGGTATACTTTTCAAAGAAGAAAATATATGGATCTAGCTACTCTTCAATTCCTTTTTTTCCTAAGGAGTCAAATATTATGCACGCAAAAAGCACTTTTTTCATTTTCAATATGATCAATACTTGTCTAATACGATTTTGAATAGTGTTTACTAAATAACGATTTAGCATCCATCATTTATTGCACATGTAAGGTGACATGATATTTTTTAGTCAATGCCATTCTGTACGTGCATGGTGGATTAAATAACATGATTTATGAGATCATTTGTTGTTAAAGTAGGAAGAATAGTTTGTTTGATATTAGCTAAGAATAAAGTATACGTTATAAACTAATAAAATATTTTATAAATATAATGCAACTTAAATATTGCTTAACAGCAGGTTTGACCATTGAATGCGAATGTAGACAAAGTTCTGCATTTGAACTATCAGTCAAAATTTACTTCCATTTTTGGATAGTTCATTTTTATAAACGAAGGAAGGGTCTTATTATCAAAATCAAGGGTGTGACTTTATAGCTCCTAGAGTAAACATAAAAATTTGAGATTTGTGATAATGCTGTGCCTCAAAAAGGTTAATAGCTACATTCTTGTTTGGTTATGTTTCCATTCCTTGAAATAAAATTCTAATGTATTTATTTCGAACATTAAAAAATTGTAGTGAGCTGCTCGTTAAACTTTATATTATTATAAGAATGTAAACTGAAAGTAAGAAGATACACATCTGAATTTTGAATACTGAAAAGAAGAATCCCAATGCATAATTAACATTTGTGTAATAAGTTAATGATGTTACAGTAAACTCTTGGTTAAATAATTTGAATTCTTAATTTGCTGTAGATTTTTCGCAATTTTAGAAAATTGACGGTAATTTATTGTTCTTGTTCTTGCTGTTAAATAAAGATTTATTACCAAAAAAAAATTCATTTCCAAGATTTTCTTTTTTGAATATTTTGAATTTTTTACTTTTACTACAATATCAGGTTTTATATTTTTGAATAATACAATCATATTTTAAGTAGGTTCTTCACTTTTAGTGCGTGAATCAATCGGGTTATTTACACGAATGAAGTTTTAGTTCATGGTTTGGTCTTAATTAAATACCCAAGAAATTAAATCAATCCTGTCGGTCGGTTAGGTTAGGAACATGCATTTGCTTGAACCGTATTTTGATTTTGTATTACATGAAAGATTAACTTTCATTATCTTGCAATACAAATTATAGATTTATATAATTATAATTTTTTATTTTATTAAAGCAATGAGTACTCAGAACTTGTGAAGCTGATCAAATGTTTGGATTAATTTTCAATGAATAAAAATTTACATTTTGAGAAATGTTCATAAATTTAAGTATTTTCGTCCTTAATATTATCGAATTAAGTTATGTATTATTTTGTTTTTTCATTTTTGTAATACGATTAAATAAAGAGTTAAGCGTTTTCTCATTATAGGTTTCAATTTTTTATTTATTTATTTTTTATTTTTTTTTTTACTATTACATCATGATGCGATTTTTTATTTTCCGTTATTATTTGTTATTTGTGATTTGTGATTTTGTTTTTATGGATGGGTTTGATCCTTAGATTATATAAAACGGAATGGTAATCATTAAATAGCATTATAATTTATTGCGTATCTAAAAAATAGATTCGATTTTATACCACATACAATAAAACGAAAACCTATTGATACCAATCAATTTAACAAAATTATCTAAACGTAAATCTCCTACCTCCGATTAGCGTATTGCATTGAGGAATTCCGTAAAGTTTTGGCTTTTTCTGAATCTATTATTAGTATAACATTGATTCAAGCTGAAAGTAGGGTTTATATTCTTAAGTTTTCTTTAAACATAACATACCTGTTGAATAAATTCAATTAAACCGTTCTTTGAATTCTTTGAGCTACATATTGAGATCTTATCAAATTGCGATCATTGTTAAATTAAAATTTTTACTGTATTATAATTATATATATTTTATTGTAACTCTTATATTGAACTTTTGGTTTTGTCTCAAAACCACATACTTTCCACTTAAGGAAAATTACAAGATATTTATATAGAAAAAAATTGGGTATTTATTTTCTACGCACCTGCACAAAATGTAGGGTGTGTTATATAATAGGTGACAAATAAAAATTTTCTATAAAAAAATTTTTTGTTCTCAGAATAAACCGTAAAAATGAAACACATAGGGGTGATGCGTTGTGATAAATAACCCTAACCCTAACCCTAATTCTAATCCTAACCCTAACCTAACCCTAACTCCGCCTAACTCCGCTTCAACATATATAAATATAGGGGGGTGCATTTTGTGCAGGGTGCACAAAATACAAATTCCCAAAAATATTATCTAACTGAACCGCTAATCACATGAATTTCCGCAATGAGTTTACTAAATCCACCTTCTTCTAATAATCATTATTTTAAATTCATTTAAAGGATAAATTTTAAGTAACCTTCCTCTCATGATGTTGTCAATGATTCTTTTGATGAATTCTTCTCATCCTAGAACATCCAAAATCTGTTCTCGTATAACATTAGAGAATTTAAGAATCTGATGATTATACTTCTATCATCAGGGAAATTTAGAGAGCACGACATTCATCTTTGAGTCTCTTAATAAACTAGTTTTAGTTGTACGTTGAGAGGCTCCTATATTGCAAATGATGATAACCAAATATCAAAAAAGCTGGCGTAAAATGTCCACAACAGAATTTTCTCACCATAGGGTATGGATTTGCTACATTTCTTCTCGAGTTCATCTTCATATTTTTCATGAAGAGACCCACCAACTTCTAACTTCAAAACTCATGAAGTCTTTACTTCTACTACTAATAACAACTTTTTAACTTCCCCTTAATTTAATGCTTCTTTGGAATCCTTTTAAATCTTTCTCTCAACTCTCGCTGAACCTTATTCGAATTAAGTTCTTTAAATAGCTTCAAAGACAAAGTCTGCTTTACATTTCCTCTTTTAGATATGTTTTCCACATCATCATGTTGGTAAAACATTGATTCCTTATATTGATTGCACGTTTCATCAATTGATGAGCTTGTATAACATTATCCAATTTCTGAGTACGTCCAATTTTTGATTATTAAGCAAACGGACTCTTATTCAGGTTAGGAAAATACTATGCTTAGTACTGTTTGTGATGTTAATACTAATAGAAGAGGTTCTGTAATATAAGGCCTTGTTAGTCTCTTCTAACGAACCAGTGTTCATCATACGTGATTTCTAGGAAAATCAAGTTCCGAGAAATTTTTGACTAAAATTAAGAGCTTAATACATTTTAATCTAATAACATCAA